TTGGCTCCAGCAGAGTTATGATATTTATAAATATGGTCTACCCACATTGCAGCTATTAGCTGCTGCTGTTGAAGAGATGGGATTGAGCGCTGTAGCTTCTGGAATCAATCAGGGAAGCACTCCACAGTCAAAAAGTATAAAGCTTTTTGTTATGTATATATTTACATTTAACGTTTCTTTTAGTACAATCACCAAAAGAAATTGAGCATATCATTGAAGTATATTCTTCTAATTATATTAAAAATCTAAGGGCAAATTTTGCATTATTTATGGCTGATCTCCTTGGCCAACTTTCAGAACATATAACAAATGGTGTGATAAAGCTTATTCGATTGGCACGATTTATGACATCTCTAACTGAGGTTGCAGATCTAGAAGCTGTGGTTACCGTTGATAAATTGTTTTATATGATTAATGGACACTTCTCTTATCTCAATTACGAATACATAGAATTTGTTGTTAAGAATTTTCTAACTGATGAGGACCAGGACTTGAAGGGTAGAATGGAAACATATGTAAAGGATCTTGAAAATTTTAAAACAAGCATAAAGCTAAGACAACTTAAAAAAGCTTTAGATGATGTACGTTCAACACATTCGCATTCATCTTGCAAAGTTTTCATCAAGTTAGTAGGTGAATGGGAAAATGAACCTCTTGCTAGACTTGAAGATTTTTTGAAACATTACTTTAAAAAAGATTCCATTTTCAATTTGAGCAGTGTCACAGACGGATGCTTAAGTGTGACATTCCTAGTTCCTCTCTCTTTTTCTCAGTATCTTATTGATACTGCAACTCCACAACTGAAGTCCATGTCTCGTGTTGGTGTACTTCAGCTGATGATAAATGATGTTGTACTTCTTGATGAAAAAGATGATGTCAATCTTAATGAGTCGCTAACTGAAGCAGTGAAAATAGATGATACATTTGAAGTGTCACTGTTGCTGTCATTGGGAGCTGATCCATGCTATGAAAATAGTAATGGAGACAAAGTACTGGAGTTAGCATTACAGGGAGGATATGAAGAAATAATAGAATTAATATCAATAGCTACAGATACACAAGTTATGGAATTAGAAAGTAATTAATCATAATTTGTATGTATACATGTAAAATTATTCTTACATTAGGTCAAGAAGAGTTAACTGAGAAGGAAGATAATAAAGAAACTAGCAATAATGGTATCAGAAATATTATAAGCGAAATTATTATAATTCAAATTATACCAGGCACAGATGAAGAATTGGAAGTAATTATTCAAAGATTAGAGGACTCTTGTGCTGGTATAAAATAGTTGCACATTAATGTATACATTATGATTTATAATTTTTAGAACTTGAGAGGTCATTAGTTGTTAGTGAAAAGAAGATGGATGAGCTACAATTACAAAGTAAGTACTTGCTTGGTAAAATTTATTAACTATAATA